AAGTCTGAATTACTATGTTAATACCACATAGACTTTAAGATAAAGTATTACCAAAGATAAAAAGTAACATTTCATAATTATAACAGGACCGATTCATGAGGAAGACAATAATCAGAAATGTGCAGAGAATTTCAAAATACATAAAGCTCAAATCGGCAGAATTAAAGAAAAACAAACAATTGACTAATTATAGTTGGAGATTTTTTTTAAGTTCACTTATTTTGAGAAAGACAGAGAGAGAATGCAAGTAGGGGAGGGGCAGAGAGAGAGAGAGAGAGAGAGAGAGAGAGAGAGAGAGAGACTGAGGATCTGAATGGGATCTATGCTGACAGCAAAGAGCCTGGTGCAGGGCTTGAGTTCACAAACTGTGAGATCATGACCTGAGCCAAAGTCAGACGCTTAACCAACTGAGCTACCCAGGTACCGCTATATTTGGAGATTTTAACATCTCCCTCTCAACAACTGCTAGAATGACTAAGTTAAAAAAAATCCGTAAGGACAAAGAACACCTGAACAACACTATCAATCAACTTGACTAAATTGACATTTATAAAACACTGTGCTCAGTAACTGCAGAATATACATTCTTTACTAAAACACATTGATGTGTTTAATAAAACACATCAGATACAGTTCTATAAAACCAGGCTCAATACATTTAAAAGGATTAAATCATGCAGAGGACGTTTTCTGAGCACAATGTAATTAAATTAGATAATAAAGATAACTAAAAAAACAAAACCTCCACACTTGGAAATTAAACAATATACTTCTAAACAATTTATGGGTCAAGAAGGAAATCACATGTGAAACAGAAAATATTTCAAACTGAATGATAATGAAAATACAACACATCAAATTTGTAGGATGCTTCTATAGCAGTGCTTGAAGGGAAATGTATAGTATTAAATGCTTACATTACAAAAGAAAATTCTCAAAACAATGACCAGCCGTGTTATCTTAAGAGACTCATAAAAGAGCATAAAAAACCCTAAAATGAGTAGAAGAAATGAGAGTAGAAATCAATTAATTAGAAAACACAAAAACCACTTGGGCTCTCTGTTGTACATATTTGAAACTAGTTTTTATTCCTTGTGAAGACAATATACTAGGGCGGGAGGGAGGGGAAAGTGGGTGATGGGCATTGAGGAGGGCACCTGTTGGGATGAGCAATGGGTGTTGTATGGAAACCAATTTGACAATAAATTTCATATTAGAAAAAAAAAGAAGAAGAAAACACACAAACTATAGAGAAAACTAATACAGCCAAAGTTGATTCTTAGGGAAAAAAACCAAAAAACAAAAAAAACAACTAGACCCTGAACAGCCAAAGAGATCTTGAGAAAGAAGAACTAGAGGCATTACACTCCCTGATTTCAAACTATGTTATAAGACTATAGTCATCAAAACACTATGGTATTGGGGCACCTGGGTGACTCAGGTGGCTCTTAATTTCAGCTCAGGTCATGATCTCATGGTTTCATGAGTTCAAGCCCTGAATTAGGCTCTATGCTGGTAGCATGAAGCCTGCTTGGGATTCTCAGTCTACTCTCTCTCTGACCCACCCCCACTCATGCTGTCTCTGTCTCTCTCAAAATAAATAAATAAACTTAAAAAAAATCACAGTATGGTATTGGTATAAAAACAGACACATTGATCAATGGAATAGAATAAACAATAGAAATAAACCCTCACATATATGGTCAATTAATTTATGACAAAAGAGCCAAGAATATACAATGGAGAAAGGACAACTTCTTCAATAAATGTGTTCAGAAAACCGGACAGCTACATACCAAAGAATGAAACTGGGCCACTATCTCATACCATACACAAACATTAATTTAGTGTGGATTAAAGTCTTGAATGTAAGACTTGAAACTATAAAACTCCTGGAAGAAAACATAGGTGGTAAGCTCCTTGACCATGGTCTTGGTGATGATTTTTTGGATTTAACACAAAAGCAAAGGCAACAAAAGCAAATATAATCAATTGGGCTGACAAACTAAAAAGCTCTTCGTGGCAAAGGAAACCAACAAAATAAAAAGGCAACCTACTGAATCAGAGAAAATATTTGCAAATCATATATCTGATAAAGGGTTAATATCCAAAATATATAAAGAACTCCTACAGCTCAATAACAAAATCCAAACATTCTGATTAAAAAATGGGCAGAGGATCTGAGTAGACATTTTTCCAAAGAAGGCATACAGATGACCAGCAGATGCATGAAAATATGCTCAAGATCACTCATCATCAGGGACATGGAAATCAAAGCCATAATGAGATAATACTTTACACCTATTAGAATGGCTATTATCAAAAGGACAAAAAATAACAAGCGTTGGCTAGGGTGTGGAGAAAAAAGAACCCTTGTGCACTGTTGGTGGGAATGTAAATTGATGCAGTCACTATGAAAAATAGTATGGAGGTTCCCCCAAAATTAAAAACAGAACTATCATATGATTCATCAATTCCATTTTTGGGTATTTATAAGAAGGAAACAAAATTACTATCTTGAAGAGATATCTGCACCCATCCATGTTCACTGCAACATTATTTACAATAGCCAAGACATGGGAACAATCTCAGTTTCCACCAATGGATGAATGGCCAAAGAAAATGTGGTATATATACACAATAGAATATTATTCAGCCATAAAAGGAAGAAAATTCTGCCATTTGTAATAACATGGAATGGACCTTTGAGGTCATGAAGTCAGTCAAAGAGAGAAAGACAAATACTGTATGATTTAACTTACATATGGAATCTAAAAAAAAGTTGAACTCATAGATATGGAGAAGAGATTATTGGTTGACAGAGGTGGGGGGGATCCCCATGGGTGAAGGTGGTCTAAAGGTATAAACTTGTAGTTATAAGTAAATCCTGGGGATGCTATGTACAGCATGATGACTATATTTCACAAAACTGTATTGTATATTTGAAAGTTGCTAAGAGAGTAGATCTTAAAAATTCTCATCACAAGAAATATAATTTGTAACTATGTGTGGTGATGGATGTTAACTAAACTTATTGTGGTAGTCACTTTGCAATATATACATAGATCAAATCATTATGTTGTACACCTAAAACTAATACAATGTTATATGTCAATAATATCTCAATAAAAAATAAAATAGTGCAATGTAAAATAAAATAAGGGGATGAGCTGAATAGGTGATGAGGATTAAAGACTGAACTTGTTGTGATGAACACAGGGTGACATATGGAAG